GTGTGTGTGTGTGTGTGTGTGTGTGAGTGAGAGTGTGTGTGTGTGTGTGTGTGTGAGAGTGAGTGTGTGTGTGCAGACAGCGGCATATTCAGTCACAAATAAAAGGATCAGGGAGGAATTCGAGAGAGAGAGTTTACGAAACGGGAAGAGAGCAAGAATTAAAAGGGTCATATCTATTTTTTATTTCGATTTTTCTCTGAGGTCAACTTAGAATGTTTGTGAAGGATTTTATGTGCCAAGAACAGGCACAATTTAGTTTTCATGACCATTTTTGCACTCTCTCTGACCCTTAGAATTAAAAAGACATCTTAATTCAACAGCTTGTCTTTTCTGCTGTGCCTTGAAAGTTTATGTAAATGTGCTCTTTAACTTCTCCTTTGCTGTGCTTACAGGTTGCTGTAAGTTTGCTTTAGAGTCCAGTTTTGCTGCCCTATCTTTTGGTAACATCCTCTTTGTAAATCTGCAAAACACTGCAAAATGAAAAAAAAAAAAAAAACTGCGGATCCTTCAAAAGGTTCTGCAGAGCGGAAGGTGCTACACACAGTCAAATTTTGACAGACTTTACCACATTGCACTTTTATCAATACTTCTTCTGGTATTTAGGAATATTAGCATCTATCATACTTCCTCCTTACCTCACAGGTGCATCACATTTACCATTATCAGCGAATTTTCACAGGCAAAATCCAGTCATTTCAATAGGATTTCCCAATGCAGATTTTCAAATTGGTCACATTGATTCACCACATTTACCGATAGAAAGCTGCTTGGTTTAAAAAAGACTTCTGTTTGAGCGTTGCTTCATATATCGCTATATTGATAATGAACAATGGACTTTTTTGCCTACAAAATTTCGCTAATGTGACCACACCTTCACTTTCAATTAATGCTCTTTTTGGATTAGGGAGGACTTCTTATTAAACTCTTTATAATCAAGAGAAGGACCCACTTTATATTAAGTGTTTTTAACTACTATGTACTTACGTTTAAATTAATCATTTGATACAAAGCACTTAAACATAACACTGCTGATCAGTAAGATTTTTAGTGTTTTTTAAAGAAGTTTAAAGAGCACCTCGTTTGGATGATTTTGAAGGTGCGGTGAGTTTCTGGTTGTTTTTCCAAAAAAAAAAGAAAAGAAAAGAAAAAAATGTATTGACCCCAAACTTTTGAACGATAGTGGTATATTGTTACTAAAGGTTTCTATTTTGAATAAATGCTGTTCTTTTTAACTTCTTATTCATCAAAGAATCCTGAAAAAAGTCACAGTTGGTCCAAAAAAAAAAAATGTAATATTAAGCAGCAAAAACTGTTTTAACATTGATAATAAATCAGCATATTAGAATTTCTGAAGGATCATGTGACACCAAAGACTGTAGTAACAGCTGATGAAAATTCAGCTGTTATCACAAGAATAAATTATATTTTTAATTATATTAAAATTAAAAAAATATATATTTTAAATTGCAATAATATTTTACAATATTATTGTTTTTTTCTGGGTTTTTGATCAAATAAATGCAGCCTTGATAAGCAGAAGAGACTTCTTAAAAAAAATTAAATAAATAAAATCTTACTGATCCCAAACTTTTGAGCTGCAGTGTGTTTTTATAATGTACTTACATTTAAAAATACCTTCCTGTAATTAATTTCTGTCGTCACATCTGTAACTACACTATCATTCCTACCCTTAAAACTGAACCCACACTTAAACCTGACCCTAACCTTAACCGTATCCCATGCAATTCAAGATGAACATTGTATACATTGTACCTAACATTTTTTTTTTCATATAAATAAATAGTAGTGAAAGACATCTAAGTGGGACCCAAGAATACTGTGACTCCTGGTGTTATTAAAAGAGAAGAAGCAAAGAAAACTATTCAAAACGAGACTAAATGTATACTTTTTATTGTAACAGAAACACAGATTACACTGACAAAGAAAATTAATCTTTTTACATAAATCAAGATATATTTATGCAAAAAAAAAAAAAAAGAGGCAATAGAATAAAAGTCCCTGGTTTGTTCTTGTGGGTCTCCAATGTGAAGACCAAATCCTCCTACCCACAAACCCTTGCGTGGTATGAGAGGGTGGCTTCTGGATCTTGTGGTGAGTTGATGATGAACACCAGCTTCAAGTTGGTGAGTCAAACCAGCACAACATTCCCGTAATAAACAACACAGTATGGCACACGTTCAAAGGTCGTTTTGAGTCTTTCGGCTACTCATAAAACAACAGACAGTCTTTTATTTGGTCTCTTTTTAGTGCCAGTCAAGTGTTGCAGATCTCTATGTGTGTGTGTGTGTGTGTGTGTAT